AAGACAATAATATTTTTTCTATTACCTTTGTTTTCCCCCACCAGAAACCTGAATAACAATAAGATCAAGGAGATCCGAGAAGGTGCCTTTGATGGGGCGGTTGGGGTGCAGGAGCTGATGCTGACGGGGAATCAGCTGGAATCCGTTCAAGGGCGAATGTTTAGAGGCCTCACAGGATTAAAGACAATGTAAGTGTGAACCCTGTGTCTGCCTGTTGAAAAGTATGTCTGCTTGTTTGGGAGAGCTGGGTTACAGCCATACCTGTTTGCACCACAGTTATTAAATAGTAAATTCTTTGGGGCAGGGAATGTGTCTACTGTGATCACAAAGCACTATGTATTTTTATGGTGCTCTGCGAGTGATAAGTTTATCTGCTGTTTCTATATAAACTGATTTTCAGGGTAAATTCAGAGTGAAACTATCTGACTGGATTTAATCATTTAGCATTTTAGTTAATAGAATTAATTCAAATCCCTTTTAAATTCTGCTTTTTAAAATTCACTTTGGTCTAATTAATATACTCACTGTGATATTGTCTGTGATTATATCAGAGATGATGGTCTCATGGTGAAGATACAATACTAGATTCCAGAATATTAGGGTGCAAATTCCCATCTCTGCCACAGATTTCCCATGTGGCCTTGTGCTATGCACTTAATATCTGTGTTTTAAAGTTTCCACTCTCATAGGTGTTGAGGATAAATTATATAATTCATATGAGGTACTTAGTGATAGGACCATATAAGTACCTAGACACAGACAAACAGCATACACTGAAAAATGGCTCAGTTGTCTACTGCCCATATACTGAAGATAAAATCAGAAAGAATGATGGCCTGTGATCGACCACTTGACGAATATCCTTTTTGCACAGTCTCTCTGTTGGAGGAGGATATAATACCTGAGCAATATGAGTTTCCCTGGCAGTTGACTCCAAAATGCCAAATGAATTTTTAAAAAGTTCAGTTTAGTCACAACAAGTGTTTCTTACTTTGCAAAGTATCATAGTGCCAAACCCGTCAATCCTTAAACAAGATAGGGCCACGATAAGGTGGGTGCATAATTGGCTGGATAACCGTAGTCAGAGAGTTGTTGTTAACGGTTCTAAATCCTGCTGGAAAGGGATAACAAGTGGAGTTCCTCAAGGGTCTGTTTTGGGACCCGTACTGTTCAATATCTTCATCAATGATGTAGATATTGGGATAGAGAGTACTCTTATTAAGTTTGCAGATGATACCAAACTGGGTGGGGTTGCAACTTCTTTGGAGGATAGGGACATAATTCAAAATGACCTTAGCAAGTTAGAGAAATGGTCGGAGGTAAACAGGATGAGGTTTAATAAGGAGAAATGCAGAGTGCTCCACTTAGGAAGGAACAATCAGTTCCATACATACAAGATGGGAAGCGACTGTCTAGGAAGGAGCATGGCGGAAAGGGATCTAGGGGTCATAGTGGACCACAAGTTGAATATGAGTCAACAGTGTGATGCTGTTGCAAAAAAAGCAAATATGATTTTAGGTTGTATCAACAGGTGTGTTGTAAGCAAAACTCGTGAAGTCATTCTGCCGCTCTATTCTGCACTAGTTAGGCCTCAGCTGGAGTACTGTGTCCAGTTCTGGGCGCCACATTTCAAGAAAGATGTGGAGAAATTGGAAAGGGTACAGAGAAGAGTGACAAGAATGATTAAAGGTCTAGAGAAGCCTATGAAGCCAGGCTTCATGAACTGGGCTTGTTTAGTTTGGAAAAAAGAAGATTAAGGGGGGACATGATAGTGGTTTTCAAATATCTAAAAGGGTGTCACAAGGAGGAAGGTGAAAATTTGTTCCTCTTGGTTTCTGAGGACAGGACATGGAGTAATGGGCTTAAAGTGCAGCAGGGGAGGTTTAGATTGGACATTAGGAAAAAATTCCTAACTGTCAGGGTGGTCAAATATTGGAATAAATTGCCAAGGGAGGTGGTGGAATCTCCCTCTCTGGAGATATTTAAGAACAGGTTAGATAGACATCTGTCAGGGATGGTGTAGATGGAGCTTGGTCCTGCCTTGAGGGCGGGGGGCTGGACTCGATGACCTCTCGAGGTCCCTTCCAGTCCTATGATTCTATGATATGATTCTATAATTCTATGAAAACAACCCTGATGTGATTTGGAGGTTTGCCTGGGTGAGGACCTCAAAACTTGGCCCTTAGAGACAAAAACTGGAGAACTTTTCCTTCGCTGTTCTTTCAACTTTTGCTTTTCTTTGGCTTAGTCCAGCTGATGTGTGTGTTTTACTGAGAAACTTTTAAATACTGTTTGTGAATACTAAATTAACTTTTATGCTATGGAAGCAGCCCATAGCAGAGCTCCCAGGAAAAAAAGTATTTTTCATAGCAAGATATTTAACATTGGAGCTATGCTGCTGACCTAACCTGCATTTCCCCCAACCTGCTAACATAGTCTAAGCACACACTGCATTAAATGAAATTCTGTAAGTATAAGTTTTCTTTCAGAAAGGGCACCTCATGTGTTGCATAGAATCCAGAGCTGGATTGAGAGACATATACTTGAATCTATAAACCTGTGCTCTTCGAGCATAAAAACTATAACCTTAAACCAAGAGGCCATGTTGGACAGAAGTGTGCATTGATTTTTAAATTCCTACGTCCGTCTATAAATGTACTAAATAGTTATAGAACTGGATAGGCATTTAAAAGCCTTCCTGCTATGTGAAGTTACTCTCTAAGATGTATGGAATCCAAAAACGGTGTCATACTGACATATTGCTTCAATATAATGTACTTCCATAATTGACCAAACACAACTAGGGCCTTAGACACGCCCTTCTCTTGTAATAGCATGCTCCTTCCAGAATTTATGGTGTAGGTGGAACCATTGCAAGAAGGGACAAGTGCCCCCCAATTTTTTGATATCTGTTGTCATGTGCTTTTGGGTCTCCCCTTTTTAACATGCTTTATTTAACCACTGCTTATGGCACCATATTGTAGGCAACTGAGGTGATAACTGGATTTGGAAGTAGATCCACCTAAAACCTAATGTCAAGTCATGACCTTTCATACCAACTGTCTGATTAGAATGTCTTGCTAAATCTAGGAGTCCTCTGGTACCTCACAGACTAACAGATGATTGGGGCATAAGTTTTCGTAGGCAAAGACCCACTTCGTCATGTGATGACGAAGTGGGTCTTTGCCTACGAAAGCTTATGCCCCAATACATATGTTAGTCTGTAAGGTGCGACAGGACTCCTTGTTGCTTTTGCAGATCCAGACTAACATGGCTACCCCTCTGATACTTGCTAAATATAATCTCTATCAGGCAATTGTAAAGTATCAGAGCAATATCCAGCTGGCTAGTTGGCTGGTATCAGCGTGGGATGTAAACGCAAGGTCGACTGAACTCAAACTACCTGGATTTCAGAGCAGAGAATTATTTTACCTTTAGGCTACGTCTACACTTGCATGAATTTCCAAAAATGCTTTTAACAGAAAAGTTTTCCGTTAAAAGCATTTTCGGAAAAGCACGTCTAGATTGGCAGATGCTTTTCCGCAAAAGCACTTTTTGCGGAAAAGCATCCGTGGCCAATCTAGATGCGCTTTTCCGCAAAAAAGCCCTGATCACCTTTTTCACGAGCGAGGCTTTTTTGCGGAAAACAGTACTATGCTGTCTACACTGGCCCTTTTGCGCAAAAGTCTTTCAGAAAAAGACTTTTGCCCGAACGGGAGCAGCATAGTTTTTCCGGAAAAGCACTGATGATTTTACATGAGATCGTCAGTGCTTTTCTGGAAATTCAAGCGGCCAGTGTAGACAGCTGGCAAGTTTTTCCGCAAAAGCAGATGATTTTGCGGAAAAACTTGCCAGTCTAGACACAGCCTTAGTGTATGTGCCTAGGGTTTTAGAGTGGTGCTCTCGTCGGGTGCATCTACACTGTACCCTTAGCTCGAAATACGGGACACAATTTCAACTATGCAAATTGCGTAGCTTATTTCAAGTTAATTTCAAAATATTTTATTAATTTTGAAATAAACTGCTATTCCAAAACCCTTACTCCTTAAGGAATGAGGTTTACAGGGACATCAGAATAGCAAGCCCCTTATATTTCAAAATAACAGGTTTGTTTAAAAGACGCGGAATAGCTATTTTGGGATACCAGAGCGCCTCAGGGTAGACATACCCATACAGCGCTCACATGTGTTTTGAGACTCTCTGGTGGTACACTTTAGCTACTGAATAATGTTTAATCTACAGATGAATAGTGACATTTCTGTACCACAACATTCTTTGATATGAAATGTGAAACGTACTTCATGAATAGTTTTAAAGCCTTCGTTGCTATGAAGCAAAACTAGAGATTATAGTATTTCAGATCAATTAGGCTTTACCATTACATCCATTGTTACCATAACTCACAACAACGTATGTCCATTTGGTACAAGTGCTGAGCAAAGAGGTATTTTATGGGGTCATTATTTTCCTCTGACTACTATTAGGAAAATTAATGATGACAATAAGATTTCAGAGCTGGTTTTGGTTTGGCAACTCTTTTCTTTATACCATACGTAAGCTTCCATTGTTGCTGTCTCCTTTCAAAGGGTATGTCTACACTACCCCGCTAGTTCGAACTCATGGAATGAGGAGTAACGGTAGTTTGAACTAGGAGCCTAGTTCGAACTACCTAGTTCGTGCCCCGTGTAGCCGCGCTGCACGGGGTTCAAACGAGCGGGGTTTTAAAAATGGCGGCGCCCCGCTTATGCAAATGAAGCCCGGGAAATTCAATTCCCGGGCTTCATTTGCAAGTGTGGTATGCCTACATTACCCCGCTAGTTCAAACTAGGAGGGTAGTGTAGACATACCCATAGTGTTTGAACAGAGATTTTAAAAAGTTATTTAGGATAGTCATTTATTAAAAACGGGATTTTCAGGTCTCCTCTCCTGAGCGCTCTCTCTCTCTCTCTCTCTCTCTCTCTCTCTCCCCTCCTACTGCCTGCCCCCCCTCAGCTCTCCTCCGCCTCTTCCCTCTCTCTCCATCTCTTTCTTTCTCTTCTCCCCCTCCTGCCTCTCACTCTCCCTTTCTCTTCTCCTCCTCCTCCTGCTTCTTTCTCCCCTCCGTCTCTCCCCGCCCCCCTTCCCCTTCCCTCCCACCGTGGCGCTTGGCTGAGTGCTGCCTGCTCAGCCGGGCTGCCGCGAGGGAGGGAGGCGGGGTGGTGACGTACATGGCCACTGCCCCCCTTTCCCCTCCCCCGTGGTTGCCCAGC